TGGGAGGACACTGGGTGGGTGCAGGCTGACATTTCCCCCTCCCCCACCCCCATCCTTTCTGCCTCCACAGCAATTCGGAAAGATCTTAGATGTGGAGATCATCTTCAACGAACGAGGCTCCAAGGTGGGTGCGCAAGAGACAGCCCCCACCCCACCCCCCTTGCTGCTGGATGTCAGTCACCCCACCCCGCTCACAGTGAAATGTGCGTCTCTTTCCTGAGCGTCTCCCGAGGACCCCTGGCAACGTGGGTGCTTGTACCCCCATGCCCCCATTGACTGTGTCACCCAGGGATGCCTGGTGATGTGGGTGCTTGTGCCCTCCCTGCCCCCTGCCCCCATTGACTGTGTCACCCAGGGATGCCTGATGATGTGGGTGCTTGTGCCCTCCCTGCTCCTTGCCCCCCTGCTATCTGCGTCCCTATTGCCTCACTGCTCTCTGCTGACCACCAGGTGGCCTGGGTCCCCACCCTCTTTCCCACCACTCAGCCTGGGGGACTGACCCTGGGGTCAGCCTGGTATTCCGGGGGTAGGGAACTGGGGGTAGGGAACTGGGGGTAGGGAACTGGAGGGTGCCTGGCCACACAATCCCAGCTGCCTCCAACTCTGGGAATGATGGCCTGGTAGAGACTGTCCCCTGGGGTCGGGGACACCATCCCAGATGCACCCCAAAGGCTTGGTGGAGGGTCAGGGCTGCTGTGGCTTTTTCTGACCCCCTCGAAGGGCCAGCAGTCAGTTCTCACACCCAGCCTAAGCACCAGGACAGGTCTCAGGGTCCTCAGCCCACCTGACTCACCACCCCTCCCCTGTCTTCTCTATGCCTCCTTCTCTGTCCTCCCTCATCTGATGTCCTCCCATCTGATGTCCTCCCTCATCTGCTCTCCTCCCTCATCTGCTGTGCTCTCATCTGATGTCCTCTCTCGTCTGCTGTCCTCCCATCTGCTGTCCTCCCTCATCTGCTGTCCTCCCTCATCTGCTGTCCTCCCATCTGATGTCCTCTCTCATCTGCTGTCCTCCCATCTGCTGTCCTCCCATCTGATGTCCTCCCTCATCTGCTGTCCTCCCTCATCTGCTGTCCTCCCATCTGATGTCCTCTCTCATCTGCTGTCCTCCCATCTGATGTCCTCTCTCATCTGCTGTCCTCCCATCTGCTGTCCTCCCATCTGCTGTCCTCCCATCTGCTGCCCTCCCTCATCTGATGTCCTCCCTCATCTGCTGTGCTCTCATCTGCTGTCCTCTCATCTGCTGTCCTCCCATCTGCTGTCCTCCCATCTGATGTCCTCTCTCATCTGCTGTCCTCCCTCATCTGCTGTCCTCCCATCTGATGTCCTCCCTCATCTGCTGTACTCTCATCTGCTGTCCTCCCATCTGCTGCCCTCCCTCATCTGATGTTCTCCCATCTGCTGTCCTCTCATCTGCTGTCCTCCTGTCTGCTGCCCTCCCTCATCTGCTGTCCTCCCATCTGCTGTCCTCCCATCTGCTGTCCTCCCATCTGCTGTCCTCTCATCTGCTGTCCTCCCATCTGCTGTCCTCCCATCTGCTGTCCTCTCATCTGCTGTCCTCCCATCTGCTGTCCTCTCATCTGCTGCCCTTTTCTCCTGTGCACAGGGCTTTGGGTTTGTCACTTTTGAGACCAGTTCAGATGCTGACCGAGCGCGGGAGAAGCTGAATGGCACCATTGTCGAGGGACGGAAAATTGAGGTGCTCAGATAAGTGTACCCTCAACACCACCTTACCCCGAAGAGCCAGGCCGGTGCTCCTGGGCAGGAGGGCCCGAGGGATCAGGGTGGGGTTCACCCTGGCCCTCATGGCCCCCTATGTTGAGATGAGTTGTCAGACTGATCTGAGAGCGTCTACCTCCAAGCCTGATGATCAGCCCCCAACAGAGGGCCCTGAGGGGTCCCTGTCCTGAACACGAACCTGCTTCACCAAGCGCTCCCACTCCTGTGACTCCCCTTGTGACAGCCCTGAAATCAAGGACAGGCATTCTGCCAAATGCAGCGGCAGCCTCGCCCCACTGCCCTGCACCTCATTCCCGCCCTGTCCCCTCACCCCCACTGCCAGCCGTGAGTGGTCAGGCAGCCACAGCAGGGGGCCCAGGACTGGAACAGCCTCTTCCCCAGAGAACCAGGGGTGTCTACAGCCCAGCCCACCCCCCAACGCCTAGTCCACACAGGGCAGTGGAGGGCTGGCAGGAAGCAGGGGTCATCAGCTAACACAGAGCCAGCAAGGTGGCCTGGGAGGGTCTTCTGGAAGCGAGGGGCTGAGGCCCTGTCCTGGGGGACAGTGACAGCAGGATGGGGTGCTGGCCCAGCCCCAGGTGGTCTCCAGGGCCCCAGGAGACATGCTGAAGCTGTAGGGGAGGGGGAGACTCAGGTTTGGCCCGAGGTCCCTTCAATCCACCCTGTTGTCTATGCAGAGGGACCCAGGTCTCAGAGGTCTGAAGAGTGGGCCCCGCAGACCTTCCCTCCTCCCGCCGTCAGTGATGAGCACTGGCCTCTGAAGCTGAGTGCTCCCCCCAGGAGGGGTGGCCATCTCTCTGCTTGGGAGGGAACAGCCCACCAACTACCCCTCCCAGCCTGGGGCTTGGTGCTGGGGGTGTGGGGAGTGACAGGAGGCCAAGGGGCTGGACGCAGTGGCCTCAGGCAAGGGTCCTGGTTGGCTGGGCATTGGCCAGCAGAAGGGAACGCCATGGAGGCTCCCTGGACGGAGGAGGCCAGCCTGGACCTATCTGGAATGTTCCCCTTCCCTGGCGACCACCCGGGAGGGGCCGCATCTGGGCGGGAAGGAGGCTGATGGCACCCCTGCTCTCTCTGTACAGGTCAACAACGCTACGGCCCGCGTCATGACCAACAAGAAGACAGTGAATCCCTATACCAACGGTAGGAATCTAGGCGGCGCTGAGCTGCAGGGCCATCCCGACTCCTGCCCCCGATCAGGGGGGTGGGGGGAGGGTTGCACCCACCACAGGGGCTCCTGCATGGCTTTGGCCCCGTGGCTCCGAGGGACGCCCGTGGTCATATCCTGCTCTCCTCGGGATCACGGGGATCCACTAGAGGCTGGTCAGCCACCCTGGCTGATGGTAGGAAGCCGGGTACTATCAGGAGTCTGCTGGGGGCCCTCGTGGGGTCCTCCTGCGCTCTGAGACTCGGGCCCTTCCCCTGCGGACAGCGGCCATGGTGCGTGCACTGCAGGGCCTTGGAGAGTTCCCGGCAAGGGCCTGGGACAGCGAATGAGTGGAACAGTGACCAAAGGGACAGCTCCCTGCGGCTGCAGAAACACGAAGCGCTTCTGATAAGGCCCCGGGGGTGCAGCCGGCTGGCACACTGGGCTTCTGCCTGAGAGGGGGATGTCCGAGCCCACCTGAGGCACCTGCAAAGAAAGGCCTGGCAGTCTACACGGGGACCCTGAGCCCGAGAGCCCACAGAGCACCGCCCTGCTCTGACCCACAGGGCACGCGAGTCAGAGCTGGTGCAATGGCGGCTGGTTCCCTCGCTGGCTTGGGGCTCGGTGGGCACTGGAGGCTGAGTGCACCCATGTGGGAGCGTCCCTCTATGGCTATTCTCCTATGGGGAGGCCAAGGCAATGGAGGAGGGGACAGAAGGGGACCCATCGGCAACCAGACCCACCCTGCGCCCGCTGGAGAGGCCGCCCCTTGGTGTTGAATGAGGCTTAGGGCAAGGGAAGGACTTCCCCACCTTGGCAGTCAGACCACGGCCGGCCAGCATCTCTGCTGACCAGGGCTTGGCGGGCGACAGTGTTGCGGATGCAGGTTCTGGCTCTAGGGGCTGGCTGAGCCCAGCGCACAAGCTCCAGTGGATCGTTGTGGCCATGAGGCTTTGCCTGAGCGTTCCCCACCACTTCAGACTCACCAGGCAGAAGGCAGAGTGGGCCAGGTGGAGATGAGAAGGGACCGTACAGGTGGGCCTCAGCCCTCCTCTGGTGTCTGTGGTCACAGGTTATCCCCAGTTCCAAGAAGATCCATTCCCAAGTCTGTCGTTACACAGGGTGCGCAGCTCAGTGGGAACAGGTGCCTGTGGGTTCTAGGTAATATCAGTCACCTGTTTGTCTTAGCAGATTGTCTATACTTTATCTCTCTGCATGTATGACACTGTTGGGTAAGTGTCCCGACTGCTAACCTCAAGGTCAGTGGTTCAAACCCAGACACCGCTTCTTGGGAAAAAGATGAGACTGCTCTTGTGAAGATTTAACATCTCCGAAACCTTGCATCATAATCAACTCAGTGATAGTTGAGTTTGTATATAAAACACTTAAGGAATACTTCCAGATAGGCCACAGTGTTTTCAACCTAATCATAATATTACAGGGATAGTAAAATGACTACACAGGGTTCGGTACTGAAGAAAGCATCTGTGTAGGTGTACAGAACTGTGACCGCTTATTCAGTCCGTGTGCTGAGCAAGTCATCAGAGAGGCTAGACTCTATGAAGAAGAGTGGGGCATCAGGATTGGAGGAAGGCTTATGAACAACCTGCGGGATGCAGGTGACACGCCTTGCTGGCTGAAAGCGAGGAGGACTTGAAGCCCTGGCTGATGAAGCTCAAGCACGGCAGCCTGCAGTACAGATTACAACCCAATGCAAAGAAAACAAGAGTCCTCACAACTCGAGCGATAAACAACACCGTGGCAAACGGAGAAAAGCGTGAGGTGCTCAGAGTCTCATCTGACTGAGAGCCAGCGTGCATCTCGCGGGGTGAACACGCTGCCCCAAACCTCTCTCAGGTGTTGACGAGCAGAGATGTCGTGTGGGGGACTGAGGCGCACCAGGCCCAAGCCGTGGCATTTCACCCATGGGAAAGCTGGCCATGAGTAAACAAGGCCGCCCCAGAGTGAACGCCTTTGGAGGGTGGTGCTAGAGAAGATGGAAAGTTCCAGGGACCACCAAACGAACAAGCAGCTCTGTCTCCGAAGAAGTACAGCCAGAGTGCTCCTGAGAGGCGATGGTGGCGAGACTGTCCCACGGCCTTTGGACATGCGGTCAGGAGAGACCAGGCCCTGGAGCAGGACCTCAGGTTTGGCAGAGTCCAGGGGCAGCGACAAAGGAGCCCACCAAGGACACGGATCTGGCGCGGTGGCTGCACCACTGACTCAAACATCACCATGGCGAGGATGTCGCACAACCCGGAACCAACTTGGTAGCGCCTAACAAGAGCCGGAACAGTTGCTGACACAGAGCGGGTAGCAAAGGGAAAAGAAAAAAACACCATGAGAACAGGTTCCTTGTCCTGGTGATGCCTGCCCTACCAGAGGGCATTTATGAGCCAGCATCATGGTAGCATTGATAGGGGTGGGGGGGGTGCGGACGGTGAGGAAGAGGTGGCTACTGCTGGAGACGGTGGGCCTGGTGTTCCAGAAGAAGATGGCCTGGTGCCAGAGAGGGTGGACCAGATGCTGGAGAGGCAGGCTTTAAGTCTCTTGCTGGAGAGAGAGGGTGGGGGTGTTTTTATCAGTGGGGCCAGTCCTGAAGTGGGCGGCAAGAGCTTTTCTGTTCACCCTAAGTGACCCTGCGGCACCTGAGGCCCCCGGTAAGTCCACGGTGTCCTTTGGTGACCCTCTCTGTAGCTTGCTCCCCTGCCCCTGCCCCCTGCCTCCGTCTCCCCCCTGCTTGGGTGAGACGGAAGGCTTCAGCTCCTCGTGAATCAAAACCTCTGTCCACTCTGGAGTTTGGAGGGCCCGGTCTTCCTCCTCACGTGCCGGAGTCTGCTGCCTTCTGGCAGGGGATAGTAGTGTTCTCACCGACCTCTGACTGCCGTTGTTACCAGGCAACCACGGCCTGCCTGGCCTTGGATGGATGCTTTGGCAAAGAGGAACGTTTAAGCCCAGGGCAGAGTTCTTGTGGTGAAAAAGCAATGCTTTTGCAATGGCTTTGCTACCCAGGTCTCTGTACATCCCACCAAAAGATAGGGCAGGGGGAGTAGGGGGGGTTAGTCTGGGTTGGCTAGGGAAACAAATCTGGGGCCACTCATGTGAGTAAGAGAGAGTTTTTTTTTTTTACCAAAGAGTAATTGAACATTAAGAAAATATTCTAGCCCAGTCTAGATCAAGTTCCTAAGTCCAATATGCCTGATACCAATCTATAAATTCCTCTTCAGACTTACCCAATACATGCAATGATGCCAAATGCAGGAAGATCACAGGCCAGTGGATGGAAAGGCTTGTTGGTCCAGTGGTGGTGGAAGCATCTCAGCGCTGGCATGAGTCTCCACATGGCTCCTCCTGCTCCAGGGCTCTAGTGTAGCTCCATGTGTCTTGTCAATGGGAATATCTCGCAGGACATGTCTGTCTGTCCTACCTCCAGCAAGCTGTTTTTCTCCTTAACGGTTCCAAATGAGGTCATCAAGCTGTGACCTGATTGACAGGCTAAATTCCACCCCATCACTCTTAATGGTCTCAAGCGCAAGTTGGCAACGGATTATATAACTACCATGGGGGCGGGGGTGGGGAGGGTGAGGGAGTATGCAAACAAGGAGGGTGCCCCAGCTGGCAAGGAGGCTTGCGGGAATCAGGAGGAGGCCTCTCAGAAGCGGGGAGTGAGCCCTGCAGGACCATCAAGGAGGAAGACCCACGAGGAGAGCGGGTGTGCAGTCCCTGTCTGAAGGCAGAGGCACCAGAGGCTGTAGCAAGGAGACCATGAGACTGAGGCAGAGCAGCAGGTGGGCTTCCTGGCCCACCGAACACAGTAGAGCTCAGTGTGAGTACTGGGACCAGTGAGACGTGGCTACCTGCAGGAAAGGTGCTGCTTCTGGCTTGTGGTCACCTGCTCACCCAGAAACCAAACTCGATGCCGACTCACAGTGACCCGACAGGACAACGTACAACTGCCCCCGTGGGTGTCCAAGACTGTAACTCTTTGCGGGAGTAGAAAGCCTCATCTTTCTCCTACAGAGTGGCTGGTGGATTCGAACTGTTGACCATGAGGTTAGCAACCCAACAAGTCACCTTCCCTATTCCAGACCCTGACTCATGAGTATTGTGGGCGGCCATTGGCACCCAGCTGTGGAGTGTTGTGGGGAGAGCACTTGGTGTCTAGACTGGGCAAGGAAAAATGGGGGCTGGAGGCCTGCCTGATCCCTGCCTGCTGGCCACCCGCCCTGGGCCACTGTGAAATTGGATCATAGCCAGAGGGTCGATGTGGCCACAGGCAGTTTTCTCAGTCACACACTGGAAACGCGTGTCAGTCTCATAGAAAGGGGGCATGTTCTCCCTTGTGCTGCCCCAGGAGCCCCGTGCCGCTGAGGTCACCAGCAGTGTGTGGGTTTCTGTGACTGGCCACAGCCTTTCACTCGAATGCTGACAGCCAGAGGGCAGGGGCATGACCCAGGGGCAGGAGGATGGCGAGGGCCATTTTATAGACCGAATGCAAGACGTGTCTCCTGGGAATGGGTCTGCAGGCGCCCAGCGGTGACTGCGCACCTGCGCAGGGATGCGCAGGGCTCAGGCCGCTCCCTGCAGAGCCACGCCCTCGGATTTCGGCCCCTGGGGCGGTGGGTGGAGCGTGACTTACCTACCTTGCTCTTCTCTAGGCTGGAAGTTAAACCCAGTAGTAGGCGCAGTCTACGGGCCTGAGTTCTATGCAGGTAAGGGCTTGGAGCCCTGGGGGCACAGTGATTGGTGGTTCAGACCCACCAGCTGCTCCATGGGACAACAAGGCTTTTGTAAAGATCGGGTTCTAAACCCCATAGGAAGATCTACTCTGCCCTACAGGGTGGCTAGCCAACTGGGGCGTGGCTTGGTGGGAGGGGGCTCTATGAGGGCGTGGCCACCCCGAGGGGTGGTCAGTGGGAGGGAGCTGTTGGGTGGGGGCGGGGCCAACTGGAAGGTCGGGGCGTGGTCAGGCAGAAGGGAAGCAGTCGGCGGAGGCGTGGTCATCTGGAGGCGTGGTCAGGTGGGAGGGAGCTGCCGGGCAGGGGCCTAGCCAAGCAGTGGTACTCACGCCCTCTGTCGCCCACTTGCAGTGACCGGATTTCCTTACCCCACCACGGGCACGGCGGTCGCCTACCGGGGCGCACACCTGCGGGGCCGGGGCCGGGCAGTGTATAACACGTTTCGGGCTGCGCCGCCCCCGCCCCCCATCCCAACTTACGGAGCGTGAGTACCTGCAGGGGCCAGAGGGGTGGCTGGGAAGGTGGGGTGGGGAGTCGGGAGCAGCCCCAAAGGCTAGGCAGCCTTCCCACACCTCCCAGAGACCCAGAGGACCCAGACCTGTAGCCACCCCCCCTATGAGGACTCCCACCTACTCCCACCGTGGCAGGGCCCTTAGGGGGTAATTCTACCCTGTCCTATGGGGTCACTATGAGTCAGCATTGACTCTATGACACTGAGTTTGGTAGGGTGTTTTAATGGTAACACCTTGGGCCGCTAACCACAAGGTCAGCGGTTTGAAACCACCAGGAGTTCCTAGAGAGAAAGCCTTCCCACTCCTGTCAGTCTCACTGTGAGTCAGACTCAGCTCAGTGGCAGTGAGTGTTTATCGTGGAAGAAAGGAACCCTGGTGGCTTACTGGGTTACCAATTGAGCTGCCAACTCCAAGGTTGGTGGTTCAAACCCACCAGCCTCCCCTCAGGATCAAGATGAGGCTCTCTGCTCTCATAAAGAGTTACAGCCTGGGAAGTTCTACTGTGTCCCTGAGGGTTGCTGTGATGGCTGTGGACGTGGACACATCCCCCTGCAGGGGCTTCTCCAAGCCCTGACCACTGACTGGTTCAGGAAGGCCCAAGGGTCCCCCACCACCGGTGCAGGACAGGGACAGGCCCCCAGGATGCAGTGTCCTCCTCCACCCGGAGGGAAAGATGGCTGCCTAGTGGGGGTGCACAAGGCTGGGCCAGGGGGTCTGGGAGGGCTTGGGGGTGTGGGAGAAAGGTGTGACCAGCGAAGGTGTTACTCTGTCCTTGTACCGAACAGGGCACTGGATCGAACGCTTGTTAAAATGCCGGTCCCGTGGGCAGGGCTGGCCCCGTGCCCCGTCCCCCAGCAGACGCCAGAGCCCGCCTCTCCAGTGTGCCCACCACTCTCTTGTCCGTTTGCTTCCAGGGTCGTGTATCAGGATGGATTTTACGGTGCTGAGATCTATGTAAGTTGCGGCCGGGGTGGGGTGTGTCCCCTGTTCTCCCCCACTGTACCCAACCCCCAACTATCCAAATTTGAGGAGGGGGGTCCTTGGAACCCAGGAGGGGTAAGGCAGTGTCTACTCTGACTCCTGCTCCCCTGAGCCCCTCAGCAGAGTCCGGTCAGGGCGACCGTCCCCATCCAAAAGAGGCCTGCTAGCAGAGGGTCACACGCTGGCCTGTGAACCTCAAGGTCGGCAGTTCCAAACCACCCAATGATCCGAGAGAGAAAGACAAGGCTTTCCACTGCCATGAAGAGTTACAGTCGGGGAACCCACGAAGGCAGATCCACCCTGCCCTGGAGGGTCACCGCGAGTCAACTTCAGCACGAGGGCAGTGTGTGTGGTTGTGTTGGTCCACGGGCAGTGTGCCGGGCTGAAAGGACTAAGGTCCACATCCACCCACAGGCACTCCCAAGAAAGGCCTGGCAGTCTGTGCCTATCATACCCTCGGAGTCCTGAGGAGCACCATTCTGCCCCCCTCACATCCGTAGGGCCACCAGGAGCAGTGGACTCGCTGGAGACCAGTGTGCTGGTCTTCTTGCTGCAGGCCCTGAGACCAAAACCCGGCTGCCCCTGAGCGGGGGCACTGCAGAGACAGGACTCCCAGCCCCTCCCTGCTTCACGGCGCAGACTTGCTGTGCCTGCTCTAAGCCCTATCTCCTGGTGGTCCTCAGACCCCACGAGGCCAGCGGCTGAGTGTCCACAGCACCCCTCCCCTCTGCCACACACACACCCCAGCTGAACCTCACTGCGCCCACTGCTCACCCTCACCCCTCTCCCCTCTCCCCCTACAGGGAGGCTACACAGCCTACAGATATGCTCAGCCTGCCGCCACCGCTGCCTACAGCGACAGGTGAGTCTCCGGGCAGGGCCCTGGTCAGGTGGGCAGGTAGGGCAGGGAGGTAGGAGACAGGAGGAAGCCACCCCTGCCCTTGGGACCCCGGGGTGCCTCCAGGTGGTGGGTGCAGGATCAGAACCGAGGGAGCAGATGGGGGGCCCTTGGAGTGCCCTCACCCCACCCAGTGGGGGGAGGCAAGGCTGCCCCACCTCTGCTCCAGGGCCCCCCAGGAGCTCCCCTGGAGCCAGAGTGTCACCTGCCTCCTGGAAGGCTTGTGGTCCAGCAGGGCTGGGCAGCGGGCACCAGGCACCAGTGCAAACAGCCAGCCCCGCCCACCTGTGAGCTGTGAGCATGCCCAAAGGCAGCCCTTGGGGCAGGCCCCCCAGAAGCCCCTGTGCACTGGTACAGCCTGGATCCTCTCTTCTCAGGAACATGAGGCCTTGTTTGGGGCCATGGGTGGGGCCACTGTGCCAGGCACCCGACAGACACCTCGTCTTGTCCGGGGGTGCCCACAGCACCTGGCTTCATCTCTGTCAGGTGTCCAGCCCAGGCTGCCCTGTAAGGAGCTGATAGATAAACAGGAACTGAGGCACTGAGGGAAGATACACGCATAAATACACACACACACACAGAGCCTCGCTCCAGTCCCTTCACACACACACACACACACACACACACACACAGCCTCGC